ATCAAGCAGATGACATTCATTCTACGGCACATTGTTTAGCAAAGGGCAGGCTTTGTTTATGAATTTACGAAGGCGTTTGGAGACTCGAGTTGGCCTTGTATAGAGCAAAACCTTGAAATCGGGCCAACCAGCCGAGTACGGTCTATTGCTGCAGGACTCTAAAGCTTGTCTTCCTACTATTTTAACCAGAATATGTACATTTAAAATGACGATGAAATAAACATTATATCTGCAAGTCATTCAATCAATCTGTTCCAATGTACGCCATGATCACATCAGGTAGCTTAACTCGCTCTTTCAGTCGGTTTCCATTATTCTTCAAGAAGCGAATGCCACTGTTATCTGTAAACCTTCTTCGTCTTGTGTGTTCGCTAAGAAGATCACGAAGGACAATGCCTTTCTACTGTACATCGTTGTAGCTCTTTACCAAAATCCTCTCAGCCAATCGAAGTTAAGGTCGACGTCAACGTCATCTCAAGACCATATCTGTAGATAGTGCTAACCAGAAACTTTTTATTCACGTAGGCTCTTTTTTTTTTTTTGTATTTCTTTCGATTTCGGTGCATGTCGTCTTATGAACGGGAAGGGGGACAAAATGGTTGCCACGAAAAATAATTTAGTTATTCAGTTCATAAGCAATAAGTGTAGCATTGTTCCACGTCTCTTTTTTTCCGTTTGTTTCCATAATCATCCACTTTGCCCTCAAAACGTGGATGAATGATGTTCTCCAAGTGCAGTTCACAACGGACACCTCTTTATAGCCATAATAAATTTGCAGGGTTTTACTCATTTTACGTTTTATTTTGGGATTTACGCAAGTGGAAGATCTCGCGTATTCATCTCGCATGGGGTATAAACCACCTAAAATTTAACGAGGGCCAAGAAACTGGCTCTGTTTTTCAGAGGAGCTTTATCTTCCAACACGCTTATTTTTTGTTATGGAAACTTTTATTGGGAAATCTGCTTTTTAAGACCGAAATCTTTGTACAAACGTGAAGTGTGATAATAGGCTGTGCGAATTTTGAGGAGAATTCTTGAGAACATGAATTTGTGACGTTCTCTCAGATCAGATTTCTTTCTTTTTCTCGGTTATCCGTTTCCCCCATGCTATGCTCACTTGTCGATCCTTTTGTCGTTACTTTTATGTAGTTCGAAACCATCAATCTCTCAAGGAATCGGAGCGTTTGTATAGAGTGTTTACAGCATTGATTGCACTTTAAAAACCCAGAAGTTCAAATGATATTATTGCTGACACGACCGGCCGTCACTTTGTGATCGGCTGCATCACCAAAGCTAAACGGTAAACTCTAGAACGTCACACACTCCTGATCCACCTTTGTTTTGACGACAAATAACGTTTGACGATCGGTCTATAGGTTAAACAGGTAAAATATTTTGATCAGGGTTGATTCATTCCTGGATAAACCTGTTTGTGATCTTCATGGTTTGTGCCTTGTTCGGAAGTTGCATTTGATATGTCGAAAATATAAAAGCGTATATATAGAGAGTATTAATTTAGGGCCTGCCATAACTTTATTCGTTTCTTTTGCATTTTGCTTCAGTGAGTTGCAAAGGACGCTTTTACGATTTTTGGTTCAAATCAAACATGCATTCACATTCTTCTGTGTCATTTTTTTTTCTTGCATTCTGTTGCATTACAGTGTGGTTTGTGTTATGGTTAAGACCATGTATGCTGGTGGGATCTGAGAAACTGATCTTTGATGGCGGGAGTCAGTTGAACGCTGTTGACGGCACAATAAGTCTTGATTATGAACAGACAGTGCTGGTCAGATTCAACTGAAGGTCCTTTTTAATGCAATTTTCAGTTTCCTTATCTTTCTATTTTATCGTTCATGTTGTACCATACTGTTTTCATGTTAATTAGAAGTTTCTTACACGCTAACATTGTTTTGTTTGAGCAAATTAAATAAAAATTGCAATACATTGGTGTTTACGTTTTTTTCTGAATTGAAACATTGACATGACTTGTTTGGATTTTTTATTTGATATATTTAGGTGTTTTTGCTTGTATTTCTATAAAAATAGGTAAGACCTTAAGAAACTTTTCTCCATAGATAAACCATAGTAAAAAAAATACTACAACAAAAATTGTGGTGACTAAAATAAGTGCGCTTAAAGGGATAGTTCACCCAAAAATGTATTATGCCATCATTTACGAACCTTTGTTTCAAACATGTGACTCTCTTTGTTCTGTTAAAGACTAAAGAAGATATTTAGATAAAAGCTTTAAACCTGTAACAATTGATTTCTGTACCATGTAAAACCTGTGAAAATCACTAAATAAAATAAGTTAGTTTAACTTAAAATGATTTAAAAATGTACTTTGACTTAATGAAAGGGAGTTGGAGGTAACTTAAAAACTGATATTAAGCAGAACTCAAGCCTAATGAGTTATGTATGAATAAATTCGGTTTTTTGTGTTAACTCTAATGCTACACTTTCAGAAATACAGGTACAAAACCAGTGGGGTGGGCAGTACCTTTTCAAAAGGTAATTTTTTTTTTCTTATCAGGTCCTTAAATGTATGTTATAATACTTAAAACGTACACATGTGTACCTCAAAGTAACTTAAAGGTACAAAAGTGAACCTTAAAATTACAAAACTGTACCCTAAAGGTACTAAGGTCCACCTATATGGTACAAAAGTGTACTTTTTGAAAAGGTACCACCCCAGACACCGATTTGGCACCTTTATTTTTGAGAGTGTAGAATCTACATTAAACAATTTTACTTTACTAATGATCTAAATGTTTGACGAAATCAACAAATAATAAATGTATAATACATATAAATACTTATGGCTCTCTCTCTCTTTCTGCGATTTATAAGGATGAACCTTAATAAAATGGGAATGGTTGGTGATATTAACGTCCTGTTTGTGGCACATTAGAATATGTGAGGGGGCTTGTAAATAACTCATGAAAGAATAAAGTTACGTTTAAAACCAAGTACACCATTGTTTTTCTTGTGAAATTCCCAACAAGTTTATTAAGGTGTATCCATATAAACATATAAATGGCCCACCGTGTGTGTGCGTGTATAAGTTTATAGTATTCAAGCTATTTGGTTTTAAAACCAAATTCCTAAAAAACTTTAAGTTGACTTAATTTATGGTCTTAGTATGTGTATAGTGTTTCACCTACTATGAAAGTCAGTGGTTACAGGTTCTTCAAAATACCTTATTTAATGTTAAACAGAAGAATGAAACTCACAAAGGTTTGGAACCACTTTAGGAAAGTACCTATAAATATAAAATGTTCCATTGACATTCAGCATAAGATACATTTCTGTAAAAATTAAACTGTTATTCTGACCTGTATGAATTAAAATATGTGAGCAATTACAAAATTACTATATTTTAAATTAGAAATTTGCAGACAAATGGGTTTGACATAATGATTTAGAAAAAAACAAAGTTTTAAAATTACAGTTTTTTTTAGCTGCTTTGATGTCCTGAAATTAACATCATCCAATGATTATTGTTCTTTATGCCAAGATGAGTTTTTTTGTAAATATGTTATTAAATTGAATGCATGTATAGTGGATGTCTGTTGTTTTTGTATGCACACTGTGTCTATAGTCTTTGATAAAACATATTTGAGTCAATATCTACTCAAATCTAGATCTTTTGATTTTGGAATTGTAAAACACAGCTTATGCAAACGCTGCCACTTTTGTGTCTGCTGTGCTGTTGCACGGCTAAGCTGTATCAAACAGGAAGAAGGCAGCACTGAGCAAACACTGCAACAAAAGCTGAATATTACTCAAACAGCCACTGCACTGAACACACTTCTTAAACGCAGCTCAAACAATCTTACTGGTTCAGAAAGCAGCTGCTAGAAAATGTGCACAACTCCAGACTGAGCACATAAAGGCACTGCTAAAGTTCAGCTAAGGTCAAATGCAGCAATGCAATTTTGCTAAAACGGAAACTGAGTAAGACTCTAAGTATTAGACACCTACTCTTTAACATAACCAACAAAAAGCTGGTTGGATTAGTTGATAAGACTGCAAGCTGAATGTATTTGGTTATTGTTAAAATACATTGCTAGTTACTATTTAATTATTCTAGATTTAGATTTCTATCAATCATAGCACTATAATTAATTGAATAATGTAATATTAACTTAATACACAGGTAAATCATAGCAGTTTACTCTATGCTCACAACCAACTGTTAGTTACCTTACTAATGCAAGTTGAAATGTGTTTAATATAATTATTACCTGTTTCAAAGTGGCCTTAATTTTCATTTGAAGCTAATTTTTAATTGTTTTAATAGTAGTTGACAAGTTTGTATTATATTCAAACCACAAAACAAGAGTGTGGTTGTGTTCAGCAGAAGTACCTGTCAGTCAAGATGAATTACAAGTAAGTTAACAATAGGAGGGTAAAAGCATGTTTCGGAACGGCTGTAACCTGTAAAAGAGACAATAATAAATACAAATATATATTAAAAATATGTAGCGGAAGATTTCGTCGACCTGTTTTGGTCATTTTGTATTAACAACCATTGCCCTCCACAGTATAACAAAGAGCATAGAATCTCTCAAGTCATTTTAAGCTCTTTGGTATAAGTATGAAAAACAAGTTATTAACTTAAATTCCGGTTATTTAAGCGTTTCACTGACCCTTCTCGTGCCTTTACCCATTAATTACCAACTATATTTGACTTAAAAACTTATGGCATTTATAAGTGTGACGTCGTCTGTCTGTCTTGTCCCTCTCTCTTCTCATATCTCACCGATCAACTGTCTGGCCTGAAGAGGACTCCATTTTGTAAACCTCGATTCTCTTCAAGCTCAAATGCCTCGCCTCCAATCAACGCTCACGCAAAGCCCTCCTTTGACCAATCAGAAAATTCAGAAATTTAAAAACAGGACGCCCCACCCAATCACAGCGCTTCCCGCCCTCAACAACGCTGGTAGGTTGAGCAGTCACAGAGGGAGGAACGAGTTCAGAGCGGGGGCCAGCGTTTTAAAACAATATTCTTTATTTTATGAACTTCCACGGATAAGCTTTAGTGATTTTTAGGAAAATAAGGTCGACTGAAGGTAAGAAAGTTTTATAAATTGACTTTGCGTGCTTAAAGTTTTTGTCTGGGAATGTATTTATTGGGATTGCGTAGTTAACGGTACAGAAATACATTCAGCGCTCAGTCCGACCCAACTCTCTTTCTGAAGTACACATAACATGTTGCTTGTCTTTCTGCATATCTCTATATGAAAGATACAGTTTAGAAAACATTATGTTTTCTATTATGTGTAATTCTCAAAGCTGTTATTTGTTGTTTTGGTATTTGACTTGTATTGAAACTCCGGTTTCCAGCCGAGTCGTTGCACAGGAAACTTGGGCACGGCGCGCATTTACTGCTCCTCCATCACAGCTCGTCTGTTTTACCACACTAATACAACTTTATACTGTTTTATCAACTAGTTTTGAATTCATAATTTATATCGAACCATTCAGTTTCATTACGTTGTTTGTGCACGTGACTCTCTCCACTCTTGTGTAAAATAATCGCACATAGAGATCATTTTACTCTGCTTTGACAGTAAATATGTGTTAAATACACTATACGTTCATTGTAATAGCTGTTTTTTGTTCCCATAGTTCATTGATTCTCGTTTAATGTTGCTGTTTACGAGTCTCTCTCACATGCAGACTGACAATGGTTTTGAATACATGACGTTTTCCCTCCATTCCGGTGTTCCGGAGAATTCAGTTCCCCTGTTCCCCCATTCACAGCGCATGCGCAACTTTAGGCTGATTCCATGTACACAAATCATGACGTCATGAATTTGCTTCGCGAACTGAAACAGATCACGGTTGTTTTGCTGTATTTTCGTAAGCCCAGTGTTTATTTCATCACAGAGTTTTAAAAAAATTGCAATTATTTGCATGGACACCCGTGTCTATTGTATTGTTCCTGTTTTTAGCACGCGTTCGCTTGTTTCTTTCAAACAGTTGCCTTGTCGAAAAAATAAACCATAATACACTGCACAAATTATAGTGCGTTTTATTTCAGATAAATCACAGTGATACTTGTTGTTTTAAAAGACATATTTACGTAACTTGTCATGTATCTTCAGAAAGTGACTTTACATTAAAAACACTGGAGTACGGATTTTCCCGAAGCAGAGGAAAGTGTTACCTTCTGAGGATTGGAAAACACAATATACAATGCCCTTTTAACGTCAGACTTAAATCTAACAATTTTCTTAGATTTAAAAAACATAAATTAAATGGATGATGCATTAAATGAGTTTACTATTTGAACAACCCTGTACAATATATCTTATCAGCATTAATATTGCAATGTGCCCATCTGCAGTTGTCACATCTGCAATGTTGAGCAGCACATAAGTTCAGAGTACATGTGATTTGTGGAGTAGCTGCAGATTTTAACCAAAATTAAATTAAAAAATTATAATTTGCATGTGATTTTAAAGAGTTTAATACATTCAGGCACAATAAATTATAACTTTTATATCTTAAACAAATATTAATTGTATTTATTTTTTATATAAAGAAGACTAGTGTTATTTTACATTTGATTATTCAATTTCTGTGTTGAATGCTCCAAAAAAAAAAAAACATAAAACACTGTGTATCTCAGCAGTTTTGTCTTTGCCCTGTTTATCTATGCTTGTAAATTGTTTTATGCATGATTCAATCAGTCCCCTACAAAATCATGCCAATCAATGTAAAATAATTAATTATTTTCTAACAGAGCTATTTAACCAATCTGGTGAAATTGTATTTATATCACAATATATAAGGCAGAACAACAAAAATTTTTCAATATTAGTTTTGTTTTGTTTTTTCAATATCGCACAGCCCTATTCTGCCACACATGACTGGTGATAACCACATCAATCACAGTCAATCTGAAAGATCATGCAGGGTAATTACCCACAACTGACTCAACATTAAAATAATGTTTAACAGCTTTTGTCAATTTAACAAGAACCAAAGGTACAAAATTGTTGAAAATAAAAAAGTACCCATTTACCCAAGCAGGTGAATGCATATGGTCATTGTGTAGTCCACAAAAATAACATAAATCACTGTAAATACACTTTTCTACACATATACAAGTTTAGAAATAATTATGCCATTAAAAAATGTTACCAGCATCATTGTAGTGCCTTTTAAATCCACCAAAGGTAATATATAGGAGTTAACACTTCTTTGGGCAATGTAAAAAAAATCCCACGCCTTTTCAATGGTAAAACCCCTTTAGACATAGGAAAAAGTTTTCAAAAGTTATAAAAAAAATTAAGTCTATCTTTTAGTTGTATTATGTGCTGTATCCATAATTTTTGTTTAAATGCCCTTTCTGCAGATGAAAACTGTTGGAGACAATTATTAGATTAAAAAGACGTTATTGTATTGTTGTTTTGTTTTTTAATACAGAAACTTACCTTGCTTACAGAAAATCTGTTCCCATGTGTTTTCATATGCAGATAAGTGACAAATGTTTGCATTAACAGTCTGCAATTTTTAAACATTACAAGCATCATCGTGACTTACCTAAAACAAAAGACACTAATTTTGCAGTGATATTTTTCTCGACAAGGCTTATTTTAAAGACAATGCTTGTTTGAAAGAAACACGAGAAAACACGCACATTAACAACAAAACAATTAATGAGTGCATGCAAAAATTACAATTACAAAATATAATAAAACATTGTTTAATGCAACCAACATTGGGCTTGTTAATACAGCAAAACCAACACGAATTTTTTTTTCAAAACCAACACGAATTTATTCACTAGCGAAGCGAAAGCATGACGTCATTACTGAGAATTAGCGCATGCGCTGTGAAGGGGGGAACAGGGGGAACTGAATTCTCCGGAACACCGGTGTCATTCTTCTGCTGTGTTAAAGGAGCAGCATGTCAATCCACACTAGAGCCTCTAGATCACATTTAAACTACACAAAAACTTAACACAAACAGCTTAAATTTCCATATTGACTTTTTATGAAATATGTAGGATTTATATCCAATCTTCAAATATATAAGATGTGGTGTTCTGTTGTAGTGTTTTTTGAAGTAAGATTAAAAATGAAAACCGTGACCATTGTTGTCTGAAATACTATTGCTTTAAAAGATTTAAGTAGTAGTAGTAGTAGTAGTAGTAGTAGTAGTAGTAGTTGAGTTGTAGTAGTTTTGAATAGCTGCTGGCAGTGATAGTAAGCGCGCGCGTGTCGTCGTGTGCCCACATATTTGCATAACAAAACCAGGCAGACTCCGCCCACTCACATTCTCAGTTTAAATCTTTTGCTCTGTGGTTTCACCTAAACTCCCTGAAGCACATGGGATATCTGGATTTCTGCAGGACTTCAACTCAGTGCTGGGTGTGTGTCAGTGAGCTCTGGATCAGGAATGTCTGGAATGTGCTTCATTGGATTAGATGGTTTTAGGGTTGAAGGCTTATGTTTTTATGGCCTTTCTTTCCATATGGCTTTAATATGAAGTTCGGGGTGTTTCCTGTATGGTGTGTCTGCTAAAAGGGTATCTTCTAGATGTGTGAGCAGTTGTACTTATGATTCTGGCTTCATTTTGACAAATTTAATGTGTTGGTGGTAGGGCTGGGCCGATAAACGATATTATATCAAATTGCGATAATTTATGTGTTGATAACTATGATTAGCCTTGGGCTTTTTTACTCTATATTGATCTAAGAGCCAATCACACAGCAGGAATGTGCAGCAATGGAAATCTAGAAGTGTGTTGATTATAATTTCCTCTGCTAAAAATTGGTTATGCTATTTAATTGACGCTTTCATTTTTGCGGCTTCAGTCATTGTTGGGATACTCTTGAACCTGTTAGCATTAACAACTAAATATATTGTTATTGTTCAATATGGAAAATAATTAATCGAGGTTGCATTTTTGCCATATCGCCCAGCCCTAGTTAGTGGCAAGTAAACTGTTTCATGTATTGGTGTTTGGTTTTTGCTCTGTGAATTTTTAATATCTGAATTTTAGAATGTTCACATGTGTGTTATGATGAATTGCTGTCTTTTAATGGTAGACTGGTGTTTTTTTATATTTAGAGATTGTTTAGCCTTTTATTTTTCATTTTACATTACAGATGTTTTGTTGAAATATGTCATAAGGGATATTCAGAAAATTATTTCAGTTACATTTTAAGCTTTTATTATACTGGAATAATAATAATAATAGATTTTTAAAATTATTTTTGGTGGGTTTATTTTCTATTATTATATTCTGCATAATTTTGCAGTCTGAATTAGCCATGGGACGATTACCGGTTTCGAGGTTTACCACAGTTTGGGAAAGACAAGGTTTTAAAACCGCAAAAGTTATGTTATACCATTCCTAAGGTATGTGTAAGGTATTTTTGTGTGTGTGTGTGTTTGTGGTAAAGAAATCTGTGTTTTTGAAATCAATGAAGACATCAGAAGTCAATGATTTAATTATGAATTATTTACCGTGACATGTTTACTGTTTCAAAATATTATAAATGTTTCTTAAAATAAAATATATTGTGTTCAATAAGGTAAAAAGTAGTTTTTTTAACCTGACATTTTAAAAAAAGCACATTTTAGACCAGTAATCACAATATCGTGAAACTGTGATATTTTTATCCAGGGTTATCATACCGTCCAAAACTTATACTGGCCCATGCCTAGTCTGAATTAGGGCTGCACAGAAAAAACATTAATCACGATTAATAATGGCAATTATTGTTTTGATTAACATTTATTCACTTGTGTATTATTGAATTTCACAGCCACAAATATAGAAAAAAAAAAACAAACATGACAATATTTATTTACTGATTGTGGGTAACAAATATCGTTATTGTGATAAAAAATATTATTAATCGTACAACCCTAGTCTGAATGGTTGTAGTTTTTATTTTTGTTAAATCTTTGCAGTAAGGTTTCATTTGTTAAAATAAGTTACGTTAATGTAGTCATGTAAAGCTTCTAAGCAGTTATTCATCTTAGTTAATGTTGCTAATGTTAACTAATTCATATATTGGTAACAGATTAGGCATGGGCCGGTATATGATTCTGATGGTATTAGGGCTGGGCGATTTGGCCTAAAATCAAAATTCTGATTAATTGAGCATTTTAACTCAATTACGAATAATGAATGATTCTTTTATTTATTTATTTATTTAATTTTTTGCCCTCTCTGTGCCTGTGGTATGTGCCTGTGTGAAGCCTGCTCCAGATCATTCACTGCACTTGACACAGAAGTGTAAACAGAGCGGGGTCACGTGACTCCACATGCGGTAAGGGAAGTAATTGAAAAAAAAATTGACCTGGAAAATGTTGATCGATTAAAGGTTCTGAATGATTTTGATTACTTTTCAATTAATCACCCTGCCGTAGATGGTATGATAACCTTGGATAAAAATATTATGGTTTGACGGTATTGCAGGGCTCAACAATAAGGACTGCCCTATGGCCCGGGGCCAGTGTGAAAGATGCTTTGGACAGTAGACAGGATTATTACTGGCCCGATTGGGAAAGTGCTGCCTTGTCACTAAAGTTTAACTTGTCTGCGACTATTAGTCAATTGTGTGCATTTTAAGCTTGAGCTTTTTGGTCTTAAAATGCTATCTTCTCTGATGTCGATTGCTTTTCGGATCCTCCTATCTGTTTTGAAGCACGCTATTTTTTTCCGTATCCTGGTAACAACCTGTACAGCGAAGAGACGGCAACATGGCAGCAATATCAAATTAAAAGGCTAAATTAAAAAATTTTATAACGTCTTGGAAGCAGACATTTACATGAAAACACAACGAAAAAAATGGTGATTGTTTTTATTTTTTATTTAATTAATTTATTTTTTTTGCACAATTTGCCAGTCAGCCACCTTTTGTTAAATAATTTCAAACTGCAATAAAATACCTCCACATTTCCCATAATGCAATTTTCGTTTGCATAGCTCTGAATTGTGCTCATACATTTATTAACATTTTTCAAATATTGAAATTCTAGATTCACAGAAGTTATTTTTGACACATTATTTAAAATATGTGGCTAAAAAATAAGCATTAACTTGTCTTTTTTATTTTTATTTTTTTAATGGGGCCAGTGAAAATTTGGGCAGGGCAAGTAAAAATCTGAACCATTGGCCCGATTGGACCAGTAGAAAAAATCCTTAGTGTTGAACCCTGTATTGTGATTACTACTCTAAATGACATTTTTTTAAAATGTCCGGGTAAAAAACTAAAACTTTTTCCCCTTTGAACACAATATATTTTACATTGAGGAACATGTCAGACTAAATAATTCAAATAAATCATTGACTTCTGCTGTCTACATTAGTTTCAAAAACACAAATTTCTTTACAATTTAAAACTTCGTCTTTGGATGTCTTTTCTGCTGGAGATAATGTTGTCCAAAAAAAAACTAAAAAGAAAATAAAAAAAAAATCTTACATATACCATAAGAATGGTAAAACAGTAACTTTTGACTTTTCCAAATCGTGGTTTATCTTGAAAGCGTTTTTTTTTTTTTTCTTACATGTTGGTTTTACGTTATAAGGCTAAATATTTTAGCATATTTATTTTAGAACAAATTTTTTTAAAAATATTTGTAAAATGTTGAGTAAAAAGGCTATCTTACAGATTTAAGAAGAAAAACTTCAAATTTAGTGTAATCTTGTTTTGGGACTCTATTCTTTAGAAACCCAACAAAGGGTGAGTGTCATCTAGATCCAAATGTAATTAACCTAAAAAGAACAGAAAGTTGCTTCTGTTGGTTATACGTTGGAAAGATAGATGTTAAAAGTCCTCTCATCTGCCAGAAGTTGATGTTACAGGTACCTGTGTGATGGTAGAATCCCTGGCATAAAAGCTATTGAGAACTCAACAATAGCGCTGTTGCAGAGAGTACAGTGAGTGTGTAATTCAGACCCATCAGCACTTCTCAGGCTGCAGCTGACATCACCGCTTTTTTGTCATCAGGCCATGTGCAGCTACTCTGGTGTTTCCCTTATGCTTCACCATTGAATGTGTTTGAAATACTCACTGAGAATCTGTAAGGCTAAAATACTAGTTTTGAACGGAACACGCAATGAGTTTTTGAAGGTGAAGTGTGTCTTTTTTTCTATGTAAAATACTTAATATGCAGGGACAACTGTAATCAAGCAATTCATAGCATAAACTGTGTACTGTGGCACAGTTAACCTAGGGCCCTGTGATTTCTATGATTTCAAAAATGCACTAATCCAATAATATAGAATTAAAATGTATTTTACTTAATAGTGCAGAATATCACTGAATTATTTAACATGATTTTGCATGAAGAATTCAGAAGCAGTGCACTACATTTAACATGATTTGAATTAGTGTCTTTTAATATATAAAACTACAAAAACAAATGTTTTGAGCATGTTTTGAGGTTAAGCGTTGAAGTCTGTTTGCCTTGTTTTCCTACTTGTGTTTTAGTATAACTTAATCAGAATGCTTAAACTGGTTGTAAAATCTGTTTGGTGATGCTACTGCACCAGAACTGAATTTAGAAATAGTTTTGAAACAAATCTTTGCACTTAACAAGCAAATTAATTATTTATATGCTAATTGATGTCTGTGCGTAAAGGTTTCCCTATCCACAAGAGCAAAAGCGAAAGTGAACTTAATTTACGTCGTGTAGATAGCAAATGCGCTTATGGTGTGACGCAGCTGGCAGTTAAAGGCAATGGGAGATGACGCTCTGATTGGTTTATTCTCAAAACACACATATAACTCATTAGGAAAATAAACTCAACCCTTTTAGACCATGTGCCACGGCGCAAAGCAGATTTTCCCGTCCTCATATTAGCACATATGAATTCTGACACACCCTGAATGCGTTTGCGCCCTGCGCTTTCCGTTTTGCGCATGGACCGTCAAAATAGAGCCCAAAATCATTAACAAAGTTGAGTGTTTAATAGTTAAGAACTCCATAAAATGTGTTGTATGGAATATGGAAAAATGTTTAATTTATTGCATATGTTTTTATCTTGTGAATTGATTTCTTTCTTTCTTTTTTTTAAGTAAACAAAGATGCCGCCTGCAAGGTTTCAGATTGGAGATACTGTAATGGGCCGCTGGCCCGGCAGTAACCTTTATTATGAGGTCAAGGTGATGAGTTTTGATAACAAGACTCGCCTCTACACCGTCATCTACAAAGATGGTACTGAGCTGGAGCTGAAGGAGTCAGACATCACGGTATGAAGCCTCTCTGACAGGTTTTCCAACATGACTCAAAGAGCATCCTTTGCTTTAGTTGAACTCATCTGACAGTCTATTTGAAATAGCTTGCATGACACATTTACCTGTCTAATTAGCAAACAGAAAATGGGCCAGATGTGTTACTTATTTCTTTATATCTTTAGAAAGAGTATTCAGCATATCTGATTGATAAGTTGATATTTAATATTTCTGTTATTGATTACTCACCATCATATTGTTCTAATCCTCTGAGAGCTTTGTTTATCTTTGTAACACAAATTAGTATATATTTGAATAGAATCCATGGGCTTTTTGACCCTCCACATACAGCAACGGTTCAGAGATGTTCAAAGTCCAGACAAGGAACCAAAAACCTTGTCAAAACATTCCATGTGACTTCAGTGGTCATTATACGGTTTTATGAAGCTCCAAGATTAGATCTATGTGCCAAACAGCTGTAAGGACATGGTTTGCCTATGTCTTCTATACGTCAGATTAACGTGCACATTTACTATGAGTAATACAACAGTTGGGTGTTACACTGCTGACTCTAATGGCAAATACATTGTACAGCCTGTGGTAAACACGCTTTCTAATCTGACGCAGAATACACCGGTGAACTAAGTTGTTTTTAGCATTTTTTTGCACACAAAGTTGTCCTTGCAGCTTCTTATAGTTACAGTTGAACCACTGAAGTCACATGGAATGTTTTGAGTGTCTTTAGAACAATTCTGTCTATGGGGAGTCAGAGTCAAAATATAGTAATTTGTGTTTCTAAGATCTAAAATCTCCCATCAGATTGGATGTGAGAGTGAGAAATGAATAAGAATTTACATTTTTGGGTGAACTAATCTCTTAATTGTCAAAGGCTTGGTTCACCCAAAAATAAAAATTCTTGAGCTTCTTTTGAACATGAAAGAAGATATTTTGAAAAATTTTGGAAGCCATTGATTTTCATAGTTTTTAATTTTAACTATGAATGACAGTGGATACTGGTTTCTTGCATTCTTCAACATATCTTTTTGTGACTGGCACTATGAATGTGACCTACATTATGACAACATAATAACATAATGTTGATTCTCATTAAATATTGTTGCCTTTGTTGCAGAGTGTGGTCATTTTTCAAACTGCTGGACGGTCGAGGTCAAGATCTCGATCACCGGGACGCTCGCCAGGACGTTCATCGGCACGTTCCCCGGGACGCCCACGTCGCAGTCGCTCCCGTTCACCAGCTAGGACGCCGCGCAGAGCTTCATCTCGCAGCACAGAAGTGCGCAAGGAAAAACTCAAAGAAGTGCTGGAGGTTCGACTCACTCCTGTGGTAAGGTTTTACTTGCAGTGGGTGTGCACATTAAAAGTCAAATGTTAAGGCTTGCTTTATTTATTTAGCTGTTTTATGATTACAATGGTGATAGGGCTGAACAATATTTAGTTTGTGCATTGATATCACAATATGTGTATCTGCAATAGTCACATGGCAGGAATAGATTATTTATTAAATATTTAAAAAAAAAGATATTAAACAGAAGGTTGCTGGTTCGAGCCTCAACTGGTTCAGTTGGCGTTTCTGTGTGGAGTTTGCATGTTCTCCCTGCATTCACGTTGGTTTCCTCTGGGTGCTCCGGTTTCCCCCACAGTCCAAAGACATGCGGTACAGGTGAATTGGATAGGCTAAATTGTTCGTAGTGTATAAGTGTGTATGGGTGGGTTTCCCAGAGATGGGTTGCAGCCAGAAGGGCATCCTCTGTGTAAAACATGTGCTGGCTAAGTTGGCAGTTCATTCCGCTGTGGCTACCCTGGATTAATAAAGGGACTAAGCCGAAAAGAAAACTAATAAATGAATGATATTAAACATTAGTATATCAAAGTATTTATACAGTAATGACCATGTTATTTGATGGTTGATTGTTCAGTTTTTGTATTTAAATAGTGTTAGACTACCAAGAAAACCATAAAACACTGTTTATTTAACTTCATTTTTACTCTGCTATTTATATATATGCTTGTAATTTATTGTATTATATGCAGATCTACTGCATAGAAAAATAATAGATCCTCGTTAATGTAAATGAATAAAATCTATCCAAATAGAGCTGTTCAAGTCCTCCTGTGAAATTATATTCATATCACAATATAACAAAGTTGCTAAAAAAAATATACCGCAAAGTCAGATTTTTCAATAACGTGCAGCCCTAAATTCTATTTATTTTTTTAAAAATATAGGAATATTTTGAAATATTATTGCAGTCTAAAATAATTATTCTTTATTAATGTGCTTAAATGTAATTTCACACATGATGGAAATCTTGCAAAAACATTGCTCTTTTTTAACATTGTGCTACTTTTTTGTAATTGTTTTGTAACAACATAGATATTTATTTTTTTAGGAATAATTAATTAATAGAAGATTCAAATTAACAAAATTTATTTGAAATAGAAAGCTTTAAATTGTAACTTTAATTTTCCTATAAATGCATTTTTGCTTTCATTACTTGATTCTTCTTTCTGATCTAACTTGACTCAGTCTTGTAAATAGTTACACTTATTTTTGGGTTTAATTTCTTTCACATCAGTTAACTCATGTTTACTGCTGTTATCTCATTTGTCTTTCCTCGTGAGTTCAAGTCACATATCCTTGACTGTCATCTGTTTCAGGCGATGAAACACGAGAACAACAGCAGCAACAGCAAATCTGAGAAGAAAGAGGAAAATAATACAGCTAAAGCAGCTCCTGTAGTCACAGAGGTATGAATGCATCAGCGATTCACATTATCAATAAAATTTTGATCACTAGCAGCAGCAAGTAAACCATCTTAATGTATCCTGTCACAAACTGGTCTTGTGAAGGCTGGAATGTCATGATGCATGCATGTTGTGCCTCCCATGTGTGACAGGAGCCTATTTAGTTGTTCACACAAAGCTAAAGCTGACTGTGGCCTCTGTTTAATCATACTGTCACGTTTTTCAGCATTTTTCTCCCCTCGTGGGACAATTGAACAGGGTTTACAAAGCATGACCAGACTGCTTAAGCTTTACATTAGTACAGTCACGTTATAGAAAAGGCACAAGGTTTCAGTGGTAAACCTTTAGTCTTTGCATGACACAACGCATAAACTTTTACACATAAATGTTTTTACTCTATTTAAACATGCAGTAATAGTTTTAAGGAGGGTGTGAACATAAATGTTAAAACTCAGAAATTTGGATTTGGTTAGATTGTAAAATATTTGTAATGCTCTCCAAACCTGCATGTATTTCATTAAAAATTTAGTTAAATGTTACTAACTTTATTTTTCCCCTTCAGTAGCATTTTTTTAGTGCTGCTTAATATTTCTGTTTGAAATAGAAATCGCTTATTTAATATAAATTGTCACATTTTAATTAGTCATTTCTTAATAAGTGTCAATTTTCAAAACAAAAAAAAGTTGGTTTCTGTTTCAACAGATGTGAAATTATTTATTTTGTAATCTGTAAATAATTTATGCTACTATTCAGTCTTGACTCACTGTAACGGTGTAACAGGAGAAGACAGAGACTGAATCAGAGAACCAGACAGGTGGACGATATAATCTACGGCGCAGGAAGGACCAGGGTGATGGCAAGGCTGTAGAGCTGGAGAAAGCCGTAGAGTCTGAGCCGTTATTGCAAACTAAAGCACCAGCAGCCGTCAAGACCGCCGATCTGGAGTTTGGAGGAAGAGTCGGTAAGCCTTTATCGATTTAATTTAATACTGTACTGTATGGCTTGGCGAAAATTAGAGCGCCCGTTAAATGGCTTAACATTTTCGCCAATGAATTTTCGGTGGCCAAAAATTTGGTTTGTCTCTAATAACAACACACTCTAAGATTTACATTGTTGCACATTTCTGGCTCTTAGACCAATCTAGAGTAAAAAAAAAAGTCCAGAGCTGATCATTGTTATTGACATAAATTTTATCGCGATTTGATATAATATCGTTTATCGGCCCTACCAAACTGTATTCTACTCTTGTTTGATAGACTGTGTTTCAGTAGCATTTTCCCCACATTTACTTATTTGTTAATGGTCTAGAATTGTCTCTTTTGGGTTAAAAATATAGGTTGTTGGGCTTCACAAAATATAATTTCAGCATCATTATCGCAATGTAGACATTTGCAGTGCAATGTTGAGTCTCAATTATAGTTGACCAGGAGCCACAAACACATGTGATCTGTAGAGTCACTGCAAAGTTTACCCACAATAGAGCTAAAGTTTATCATCAGAATGTGTTTTTAAGGCCTGTGAGACTGCACTGCAAAAATGCTTTTCTTACCAAGATATTTGGACTAGAAACAAGAGAAATGGAGAAGCATTTTCTATACAAGCAAAACACATGTTTTCAGAAATAATATGCCCAAATTAAGTGACTTTCTCCTTCACAAGCAAATAATCTGTGCACAAAAGCATTTTTTCCATTGTGAATATTTAATTTCTGTACGCGAGTACTTTTAGACTCTCCAGAAAAATGTTAAAGCTTTTTATTTAAGCCATCTGGATGAATTGTATTGAGAATTTCACAAAAATTAGTGCAGATAAGTAAAATATCGTAACATCAGATTTTTGTAATATTGTGTCCAAATAGTAAATAAAAATATAAGGCTTAAAATAAACAAAAACATATAGCTTAAAGTTTTAAATTCTCTTTTACTACAGGTTAACAGCATCATGCACAGAAAAATATAATATAGGAATTACTGTCAGATTATTTATTCTTAATGTTTGTTTGAAAAGTGAAATGATTATGATAAAAGATTTGGCTCCCTCTTCTCCTTCAGGTGTGCTTTTCCTGATGTTTCTGCTGCCAGTGGCTGTGTTGGTATTGCTCATTCTCTGTGGGCAGAAGGATGCCAGTCTCCAGAGCTTTCCTCTTGAGCTTCCCGCTCTTCAGTCTGTCTGGGATTGCCAGGTCTTTGGCATCGTCCTGCTCTGGCTTCTCTTCCAGGCCTTCCTCTCCTTGCTCCCTGTCGGAAAGGTACCGTCCACAAACACATGACTCCCCGTGACCTGAGTTTAAGCGCATGACCACATAACTCTGTGGCTCTCTTTTTTTGTGTGCATGTTAGCTGCTGTAAAGCAGGCTAGATTAGATTAATCACTGGAAGTGGCATGCAGATTGAAAGCCTCGCTGGAAAACATCTGGTTTTGATTTCCAGACTCTTAAGGGTAATTAAGATAGGATCTAAAAATTGCTGCGCTTTTCCATGAGTTTGAGGTTAAGCTGATTATTTCAAGATGAGTTTGTCAGAAAAATCGTTTAATAGCGAGTATGTTTCTGAATTTGTTTATGTTTGGTCTGTGCAATTTTAGTTTTAGTTGCATCTGTGACCTTTAGGAGCTTGATATATCAACTGTCGTCTAGTTTAACAATGGTGGAACTATATAGCTTGTGTACAAGTAACAACTTGGTTCTTTATTAGAACCTTTAAAAATACAGCAGTTTTAAAGGTGTTTTATCCAGTTTTGCAGTTATCTGTTTTTAACGCATCTTGCATAAGCCGAAACATCTCTTTGACAATTTTGTTAAGCATATTACCTTTTAGATTGTGTGTTTTTTATGATTAAAATGATTAGATTTTAGAACAGAAATTACTACATGGTTGTGTCATACCTCAAGGATTTGGGTTATTAGGCTGGTTTTTACACAAATATTGCAGAACCATTTTGTTTGACCCGACACTAGTTCCAGTGTTTAACTGTTAATATACTAAAGCAATCTTACTTAATACTTTAAATTAGTTTTTCATTTTAGTTTTGTGCTTTAGTCATTTTTATTAATTTATATATATAAAATTAAACTATAAATATATATAAAATTACACACTATACACTCTTTCTTTATGTTTTTGTTATTGGAAAAAATAAGACAAAAGAATAATCTTCATCCCCCTTTAGTGAATTAAAATTGCAAATCAATGTAAATAAAGTAGCGTATACAATACAGATAAATGACTATTAGTACTGCAATACTGACAATACTACCACTTTAAAAGTACAGTATTTTGAAGTTTCAGTATCCTTACCATAGTACCTTACATGAAGTCTGCAACCCTAATTTATAATTTATTTTATTTCAGCTTTTAACTGACTAGTGTTCTCTTGTAAATTTGTGTGTGTCTCTCTCTCTCTCTCTTTCTTTGTCGCTTCCTCTCAATCCCTCACCCTACAGCTTGTTGAAGGAATGCCACTTAAGAATGGGAAAACTTTGAAATACAGGATTAATGGTCAGACTTCAAAATTTCTGATATCAGCAATTCTAATCTATATGGAATTTTTAAAATTTGACTGATTTAAAAAGCTTAATTTTCTTTCTGCGTCAGGTTTCTATGCGTTACTCCTCACGGCTGTGGCAGCAGGTGTCGCTGTGTACCAGGAGGTGGATCTCAGCTACATCCATGCACACTTCTTGCAGTTCTACACCTCTGCCCTGCTCATCGCAACTCTCCTCAGCATCTACCTGTTCATCCGCTCCCGCTGGGCATCTAAAGATGAGCTAGCTCCCGGAGGAAACTCTGGTAAGGCCATATAAAATCAGCCAGCACTAACTGACTTCTTCCTCTTTGGTTTAGCATTTTTTCACTTGTGGTTTTTCACAAATGGTTTATTATCCTCATTATTCACGCTCAAAGGGATAGTTCACCCAAAATGTAAGTTTACTCATCCTCGAAGAGTTCCAGACCTTTAGGAGATTCTTTATTCTGTTGCATACTTAAGAAGATATTTTGAAGAAAGCTGAGGACCAGTACCATTTCCTTTTATTCTTTAATATAGAATTAAATAGTAACCATTTTCCCTTTTTTTTTATTTTTTTTTTTAGTGTTCAACTAAAAGTCAGTCAAACTGGTTTGGACCAAGTAAACGATGGGTAAATGATGACAATTTTCAGTTTTAAAGTTTTGGATGAACTATCCCTTTAAATAATCGTCCAAGCTGTCTCATAACTCTTCTCGTTTTCATCTGTGCTGCTGATTAGGATAAACCAGCTACAATTGTTTATGATTATGAAATAAGCCTTTCAGTAAAATATTGCCATTTAAATGTTAGGCTTAGGTATTTTTAAAAAGATTATACATAATTTTTTATTATTCCTCTAGGCTACATCATTTATGACTTCTTCATGGGCAGAGAGTTAAATCCCCGTATCAAAAGCTTCGATATTAAGTTCTTCTGTGAAATGCGCCCTGGACTGATGGGTTGGGTGAGTATTGGTATTGTTTTGCAAAGCCTCATTCACAGGGTTCCCACAGGTCAGGGTTATGGAATATCATATAATATTAAATTATTTATTTATTATTCGTCCAAATAAAGATCACTGGTAGTGTGAATCAAGGTTATTTTTGTAAACCAAAACTTGGTCTAAAAGCATTTTCTTTAACTGGCATAAAATAAAAAAATAAAAAAAAACTGAAAAACAAAACAAACTGATTAGATTTTTGACAATGTCATGCAGTCATTGTCTCTGTATAAATCATTTTTAAAATAATATCTTTATCTTTTAATCTTTAATAAAAAATCTAATCCAGCAATGAGACCATTGCGGATACACACATTGCGATATGTATGCTCAAATTATGTAATGTTCAGCCTTAAGCAAAACTTTTTTTTAGCAAATGAAGAAAATGTGTTTGTAAAAATGCCATCTACAGGTGGTTCTCTAAACAGCCAAATTATTGCTTTTGATAATTATTATTTTATTTCAGTTTTCAGAGGTTAATTTGTTATTTTGGTTAATTTGGGTAATTTATGGGTGGCATTTTTGTATGGAGTTTGCATGTTCTCCCCGTGGTTGTGTGGGTTTCCTCTGAGTGCTCTGGTTTCCCCCACAAGTCCAAAGACATGTGCTGTAGGTGAATTGGGTAAGCTAAAATTGTTCATAGTGTATATGTGTGAATGAGTGTATGGGTGTTTCCCAGTGATTGGTTGCAGCTGGAAGGGCATCCGCTGCGTAAAACATGCTGGATAAGTTGGTGGTTCATTCCACTGTGGCAACCTCTGATTAGTAAAGGGACTAAGCCAAAACAAAAATGAATGTTCAATTTTTGTACTTTAATACTGTTACTCTCCCCAGAAAAACTTTTTAATTTTGCTCAGTCACATTTATTATATTTTATCCAAATGCACTGCGTAGAAAAAGACTTGATCATGCCAGTCAATCTAAATGAATGAATGAAATCTTTCTAAATAGAGCTATTCAAATCATCAGGTGATATTATAGTCACATCGCAGCAAAACAAAACCTTGCAATGTCAGATTTTTTCAATATTGTGCAGCCTAATAGGCATGTTTAAGTACATGATCTTTAATATGAAGTAGTTTGCCTTAATTCTTCATCATTTTAACTTTTTTTCATTTGCATCTTTATGGTTTTGGATTCATGTCTGTTCAAACTTCAAACATTTTATTTTTATCACTAAGCGGTTTGCACAACACTTAACGTAAGCTGTGCAAGCTCCACACTTTGCTTTGGTTGGCATTGGACTTTTTCTGTTAACTAAATTGATAAATATATAAAACTAAATGTAATAAAAATGTGTTCACAAAAACTAAAATAATACTAACGAAGCTAAAGCCAAAGCTAAAACTAACCTCAAATTTACAGCAAAAGTAAAAAGCATTGAAATAAAATTCATATCTATAATAATAACCTTGGTGTGAATGAGGCTTGGTTAAACTGTTTTGTTAAACTGATGTTGTAATTACTCCCTCTTGTGATCAAAATGATTAGTAATTCTCAGATCTTGTGTGATGTTTTTTGTTTTGTTCTATAAAATTATTTGACATATACTGAAGAAACACAATTGTCGGTTGTTTCCACAGGTGTTGATCAACTTTGCGATGTTGCTTGCTGAAATGAAGCAGCAGAATCTGGAGAATCCGTCTCCAGCGATGCTCCTGGTCAACATCTTCCAGCTCCTGTGGGTCATCGATGGCTTGTGGCATGAGGTACAACAAGTGTTTTTCAAATCAAAGACTAATGTGCTGTCATAACCAACTGACTAATCACACTGTATTTCAGGAGAAGCTGCTGACTATGATGGACATAATGTATGATGGCTTTGGATTTATGTTGACATTTGGAGATTTGGCTTTTGTTCCCTTTACATTCACATGTCAAGCATACTATCTAGTCAACCATCCCAATGAGCTCTCAGTGTTCTGGATCATTACTCTCATTGCTATGAACGGTCAGTGTCTGACATATTTTCTCATGGTTTATTTCTTTAGACATGCTAAAAAGTACATCTAGATGATTATTTAGGTTTTTTTAAAGGACATGGTGTCAATATACTCATGATTTGAGCTTGTGTTTTTGCCTTCTCTATCAGGAGTGGGATACTATATTTTCAGGAAAGCCAACTCTCAGAAGTTTGCCTTCAGGAAAAACCCTTCTGACCCGGCAGTGTCTCGTACGTGTTTTGAAATGGATGAACCAACACATGAATATATATGATTTTGTTTTTTTGATTGGTCAATTTAGATGTTTTTTTTTTTTATATCCTATCAGATCTGAAAACTATTCCTACTGCAACTGGAAAAAGTCTCATTGTGTCTGGTCTCTGGGGTTTCGTCCGTCATCCCAATTACCTGGGGGACATCATCATGGCTTTGGCCTGGTCTCTACCATGCGGTGAGTGTTTGACTTCATTTTACCCAGAGACCTCTAGCTTTGTTTCTATGTTGTCGTTGTCATCAAAATGCTAAATAATTACCTCTATGATTGAGATCATCTCACACAAAGTGCTAATGTTTTATGCAGTATTTTGTGTATATAACCATTAATAGCCAATGACTTTAGAAAATGTAACAGCTGTAGTTCTTGAAAAAACAACGCTGTCTGAAAAATATACAGATATCCATAAATTATTTGTAGAAACACTCATTTAATTGCAAACCTATTACTATTATGCAAATAAAAATATATATTTAATTATTGTATTGAACTAATACAAAACAATCACTATAATACAACAGATTTTTTTTCAAATTATTTAAAGAGCCTCTATCATGCATTAAAAAAGGTTATATTTTGGTTTTGAGGCCTCTAACAACAGGCTGATATGCATGGAAGGTCAAAAAACACTTTCGAGTCTTATAATATGCGTTTATTTTTACCTAATTATCCCAGCGACTCCCATATGCTTTATTTAGTAAGTCATTTGTGCCCAAACCCCTTCTTAGCACGATACTAATTTGAACTGATTGATCCGATGACCCAGTCTATTGCGATTGGTCGACTGCATTCAGTGTGAGACCAAGAGAAATGGCCACCACAGCTTGTCAACAATTTTGAAGTAGCAGAGTTTAAGTGTGAGCCCAATGCAGGAGTACATTAAAGCAATACAGTTTAACACCAGCATATTGCTCTATTCTTAACCGTAAATAAAAACAGCGACACACATTCAGTATTAATCCACACAGTGGCAAAAGCTGAACTATTTTGAAACTTGACCGCCGCACGTGTGTAGGGACAGGCGATGGTGGCCATAGCTTTGAGAAATGGCAAATGGCAGAGGTGGTTTTATAAACGATATGAGAAAATAAAAAGTTAAACAGATACACTACAAGTGGTTACGAGTATCAAAACAATTAAACACATAATTTGCAAGCTAGTGAAAACAATCGCACTTGAGTTACTTGCACTTGTGAAATGGAGGGTGAAACTGATCCATGAACTGTGCACTGTAAAGTTTCTGTCAAGCTCTGACAAAGTCCCATACATCAATGGTCTTTTCTGATCATGTTTTTAACAAACGGCAGACGAATCCTCTGTTGTAACTGTAGATTGCTGTAGAAACAACACAGCACAAGGCTGGGGCTTCAATGCTGAGGTATTTATTGCAAAAATAAACTTCAACCACTGACTCTTCACAGTTTCATCTTTGGGTGGAGAAAATAACATTAACTTTCTTTCACACTTCAGAGCACAGCGTCTTCATGACATGATTCAACCGGGATCTGCTACAGTGTTTGTCTTCTTTTTCTTTCTATTGTTTGTGGGCGGGGCCAGGGGGTTAAATTTTCCCAGGTCAGCGTGCACAACAAATGGGTGGGGCTTGAGTTTCGTACATCACTGATAATATATTTAAACAACTGAGTCAAATCTTTTATAGATGAATCAAAAGTTTTAAACTCCGAATTTGAGCCTAAGCTTGATATATCACTTCACTTAAAGCTGTTACACACTGCATAGAAGGTCATTTTCAAAAACACATAATAGGCCTCTTTGATAATATTAAAAAATATATATTTTGAATGTGTATAATGAATATTGTTATGCAATATAAATGATATACATTATATATTTAATTTTTTTAAAATGTTTTTAGCTTTTAAATTTTAAACCATGGAGCTTTTATTTTGGTGGAAAACTGCACAGAAAATCCTGAAATGCTTCTCTTTTGTTGACAACTGATATATAATTCCTTCTTTTAAAAATCTTGCGAAGACATTGGGTGAATGTTAAGTTTTCATATATATCAGCCTTGCAATGACACTGAAAACATTCTATCAAAAGATGACAATGTTTTATATAATTATAAAAGCAATAAACCATATCACATTGTAGAATTAATTAAAGAATCTACTGGTAAATTGGCAAGTGACATTGTTTAATGTACTGACCAGTGTCGAGTGTTATTATTTTATGATTCACTGTTTTGATGAAATGATATCTGACTAAAGCCAGCATTTGATTCTTGTGCTTTTCTGTAGGGTTCAACAATCTGGTCCCTTATTTTTACCTGATCTATTTGGTCACTCTGCTGGTGCACCGTAACGCACGGGACGAGCGTCAGTGCAGGAAAAAGTACGGCTCTGCATGGGAAGAGTACTGCAAAGCTGTCCCGTACCGCATTTTCCCAAGAGTATACTGAGACTTAGTCTGTTATGGACACTCGGGGCCTAAACACCAGGATGACACCGAACATCAGACAGGGAATGAGTCATTAGCAGCTTAGCCTCCTTTTTAAAGTCTTTTAAAAACAAAAACAATTACAATTGAGCACCAAAATCAAACCAATTTTTCAGTCACAAAGCGTTTACGGATTGTGGACACTGCCCCAGTTTGCAGAGTTTGATCTCTTAGATGTATATTATTGTACATATGTTTTTTTTTTTTTTTAACTCTTAAATTTGTGTTGCATAATCCTCAACTTGCCATCTCATCTGATGTACACACATATACACATTTAACGTATTTGCTTGGCTATTTACCATTGACTTTTTTTTATGACACATTGTGTAATGCTTTTGTATATTGTGTATGATGGGATTTTTTTATATGTGTATAGTAAGGAAAAGATGTAATGTTCGTTCTCAGGACCAGCAATTTGTGAAAAAAAAATACAAAAAAAAAACCAACTAAAAATAAGCAAAACTATATTTTCATAAGTTCTGTACATAGTTAATACTTTTTTTGGTTTGATTTGCATTTTAGGCATTCATGCACTATGCTAAACCTTGTTTTTCATCCAAAGTTCACACAATTTGGCTTTGCTACCTCAGTTTTATTTCTGTAGAAAACCATGTATGAATTAGTTTTTTCTTTTTGAGTTTTGGAATCTGGTTTTCAGGCACTATATGAAGTGTATCTTTCTCAATCATAATTGTGTGCTGTGAACAAAAATGTTGAACTATGAACTTTAATCTTGTGCAAGGTAGCATGACTTTTCATTGAGGGTTTTAATGAAAAATGAAAAAAATGACAATGCTTAACTGTGAATGTGTATTGTAAAGCTTTTCTTAACCTATTACATCAGCCTCTCTTCTATGCAAGTATATCACTTGTGGGCATAACAGTTGTCCTAATAAGAGTTAAAAATAAGTGTTTCTAGTTAAGATTAGCTGTTACTTTATAGCAGTGAAAGAAAGCGTTGTACAATGTTATTTATCTGGTGTTCAATTGTGTTATTTGACAAGCAGTTTCTGTGTAAATGCCGTTTTTAATATTCATTATTGATTAAACCACTTTAGACAAACAGTATGCCGCATGTCTTGTCCCAAAACGAAATGTACAGATTGCTGAATTTATTCATTTACTTATCTAGAAATCAATAACATATGTAAAGTTGCATTGAGTTTGACTGTTGTGAATTCCTACTGTAGTTTGTCTTTTTCCATCATTTCATTTCTTTTTTTCCCCCGTCATTAGTTCCACTCACTAATCAAATCACTTGTAACTGTGTGATAAAAACAGACTTTATTTAACCTTATTGTTACAAATACATTTAATATTTCATTTGCTTTTTGACTTGATATTTCGTATTTGTTTAATGAATGTAGTTTTATATTACAAAAATATTACATTAAGTAAAATATTGTCCAAAAAGTGACATTTTTGTTTTATAAAATAATGTTACTTGATTTTGTTACAGATTGGAATGGAAATATGACAGTATTAGAGTGAAAACATTAGTCTTTTAGTCTCAGAAAAGAAAGTGTTTGAGTCTGTTTTATACTATTGTTTAGTTCAGCGGTGTCCAAACTCAATCCTGGAGGGCCGCGGTCCTACTGCGTTTAGCTCCAATTTGCTTGCCAAGAAGTTTCTAGTATATCTTAGTAAAAGACTGATTGGCTGGTTCAGGTGTGTATGGTTAGGGTTGGAACTAAACTCTTCAGTTCACCAGCCCTTGCTAAGTTTAGCTCTGCAGGTTATATTATCAGCAAACCTCACAGACTGAGCAGGAAATATGCATGCTTTGCAGACAGACTAGACTCCAATAAAATCAATAAACCTGGAAGAATGGCATACTTGGACATTCAAATTTATCGCTCCATTGCTAAATATACATAAAAGTACACAGAATATAATTAAAACATAAAAATGTTTCGAGTTTTCTCCCTAAAGGTTAGGATTGCAGATAGAAGAGAATGTACGTGCTGGTGTTAATGCCAGAAAAGCTTTCACAAACACACACACACACACACACACACACACACATATATATATATATATATATATATATATGAATTGATTCATTTGAGTCATATGTTCGTAAATCAGACTTCATATTTTAATTATACATGTGTATATGTGTGCTTCACGCGAGAAGCTTTACCTAAAAACTCGGTGAAATGGGTAATTAACAGAACCTAATTTTAAATTGAGATCTTAGTATAATTATGCACTTATTTGCAATTTGCGACCCCCAGTTTGACACGGATACAGGCGAATATTTCTGCTGTTTCCAACTGAAATCAGAAGTTGGATGGCAAATATAAGTTTAGTTAAGTCACGTGACGTGATTCATGATTAGCTAGTCAGTTGCAGGTGCAGCACCATTTTCTGACATCCATGACAGTCATCTGTTGTCAAGTGAAGTGACACGAGCTAAACGTCTTATAGCTTTTGTGAGAGCCAAAGAAGAAAGTTATGGCTAAAGGGTGAGTAAAGTTCCAGATTTGTCACACTCATTCTTACTAATTATTTACACTTGACAACCTGTTTACTTTTTTGATGTATTGGAGTGGTAATTTAGTAGTCTATCTTTTAATTATGGTAGGGTAATTTACGTTGTGTATCTATCTTCAACACTTTTCGGATGTTATTCACAATTAAATGTAGTCCTGACAGAAACACTGAACAAAACAAGTAGTGTATACTTTCACTGTAACATTACTGTTTCTACAATGTTTCATAAATTAAATTGCAGTATAAAGTAGTGCCGTCAAACGAATAATCGCGATTAATTACATCTGAAATAAAAATTCATTTTTACTAAATATGTGTGTGTACTGTGTAAATTTTTGTGTATATAAATATATGCGTGACTATATTGTATAGAATCCTTGTTTATATATATATATATATATATATATATATATATATATATATATATATATATATACATACATACATACATACAAATTGTACATATATTTCTTTTGTATATTTTTTTTTACATTTTATGTACAGTATGTGTGTATACAAATACATAAATATAGCACACGTGTATATATTTTGTAATGCAAACTTTTATCTGGGATGTGATCAGTTGTTTGACAGCACTACTGTAAAGTTTATCGTCAGATTGCATGCAGCGTGGCTCTATATACAGTCTATTACAAAAGAATATTTACATTCACAATAGGAAAAAAGTACCCAAAACTGCCACTACTAATGACTGTGACCTATGCGGTGGGGACTCTTCTTTGAGGCCATGGAGGTGGATTTGTGATTGACAGTGAAGGAACACAACTGATGCTGGTAGGATACAGATTATGTTTTTCTTTGACTGTCACAAAATGGGAATTACATGGGATGGTTTATCTAAAATTTAAATTTTTATTTGCCTTAAGTTGAAACACAGATAAAAATATTTTGAAGAAAGTTTTGTTGTTAAAGGTTTTCATCTTTCTTCAAAATATCATCTTTTTTTTGTTTGACAGAAGACAATCAAATGGGTTTGGAACTAGAGGAGGATGAGTAAATAACAGAATTTTCATTTTTGGGTGAACTATCCTTTCAAGCAATGTTGAATATAGCTTTTGTGATTTCAAGACTTTTTAAACACACATGATTGAATCCTCAAATTGTACTCTGAAGCAGTGAAAGTGGTTTTTTTTTTTGTTTTTGTTTTTTGGATACATGGAACACTCTTGTGCACTACTAAATTATTCCTTGTTGCATGCATACACTCTGCATTAGCTCCAGTCTAGCACTAGATGTCATCAGTGTGACGCACAAATGATGTAAGGTTTGACGTGTGATAGGGCATTTGGCATACGGATGTTTATTTTGGGCTCCTGGGGTGAGGGATCTAGTGTCAGAGTATCAGTTTCCCCATCAAGGGAAATGACAAAGTGACTGATGCATAAAGCCATTTCATTCCTTGGCCAACATGCAACAAATGAAGTATCCGTGAATGTGCACATTAGAAAGCTAATTGGCGTTAGTGTCATGCTAAATTGTGCTTTATTACGAACAACATCTGTTAGCTTGGATCTGTGTGAAGTGCTTCTCATTTCCAAACTATTATTTTCTCCTTTCCTGTGATTTGGGGAAAAGGTTGTAAAATATTGTTTTTGGTATAAAAAAATGCATATTCATTTACAAAATCACTCGGTTATTTTGCAGAGATATTCAGTTAGCTCAGTTTGAGGGTTAAAATTATCAAATAGAAAATGTGAGATCCCAATCTCTCCCCAGGACCACTCCACTCTCAAAAATGCTGCTCTTAAACCAAATTTTAGTGCAGTATGGACAAACCCAACCTTTGGGTTTTTAAATAATTCACTAACTAATTGAACATATTGGTTGTGTTTGTCCATATTTGACCTAAGTTTGGGCTTCTAATAGTGTACAGGGGCTCATTTAACCAATAAGCAAGATAAGCCAATAGTATCTGGATGCAGCCTTTATGATGCAAGCTGTGATTGCATCGCTCCGAGATGCAATGTCAGACACAATGCATATAATGGAGCTAGTGACGTCACTATAAGTAGTAGGGTTAGTTTAGGTGAGCCCATTCAAAAGCAATGGATGCAGCTCAGATTGCATCTGCACCGAGTCTACAGACAGAGCTCTTTTAGATAAGCAGCCACTTAGGGCCCCAGGAAATTTGAGGGCTCCCAAATATATACTAGTAGTATAAATTATATCTATTAATTAAATATAACATAATTTTCTGTCATATTTCGTATGATGAGTATCTAAAAAAAATAAATGTTTAATGTTTATTAGATCTGTGCAAATGTAGCCCCACCCTCGATCATGAAGAGTCCAGCAGTCAAATTAGGTAAAGATTAAGTTTTAAAAACAAAATAAGTTTATAATTAATTTTTAGTCGTGAATTCATTTTAAGAACACCAATCATTTGAAAAGTTTTACAAGATGCTTTACATGTTGTTGTTGTTGTTGTTATTATTTTGCATTATACAAAATGTAGAAAAATTAGTGATTTGGAGCGTACTCACACTATGTACAGTTGTCTTGAACCGGGCCAAAGCACGCTTGTCCCCCCTCCAATCTCCCCTGATGGCCCGCACTCACATTACATTCGGGCCTGAGCACGCTTACGTCATCGATGATGCGCTCTTCAGTAAGCGCTTTTGCTCAGCACAGTGGAGATTTCGCAGTCAGATCTTCTGCTGAACATATCAGCCCCTTTTGATGCTCATAAACAATCATAAAGTCCTCGTGCTGCAGGAATTAGGAGGTGCAGCAGAAGGTGCAGTGAGGGGTCTGAGTCTTTAATAAATCACGACAGTTTGCGTTCATTGAACAGTAAAAATTATTAATTAATCCATATGATACAGTTCCTTAAAAGTCACACCTCACCTTCAATTTCGGGCCCGGTTCAGAGCACTCACATTTCTCAAACGATCCAGGAAACGGGCCTGGGCACAATTCGGCTAACATAGTATGAGTAGTCCTTG